CTGTGGCAAGATAGTAGCGTACTGTATATTTGACCCAGATTTGACAAGCGTGGTACAGTTTTTTGCGCGTGTCCGTAATAACGCGCACAAAGGATTGTGGGACAGAGTCCTTTATTTGCTGGCATTCTTGACTTTTGACTGCAGTTCTTTTTTATATTTTAGAGTAAATGCTTTTGATATGCTCTTAGGTTTCTTAATATTCGTCTGAAATTCTGGACTGTGGTCATATTTTTCGATTAGGAGTCGTATATTTAAATAACTCACCGTGACTAATGTTTTGCATTATGAAGTATATTTTTATGAAGGTCAACACACTGTACTTTAGGTAAATATTTACCATCTCGTTATTTCATTATTTCGCTTTCCAGCATTTACAGGAAACGCTTCATTCTAGAAAATGCTATCGCAAAACTGTTGGAAATAATAAATGTAACAGCAGAATACGTCCTAGCACAGTCACTCGACTAGGAGAGTGATTGTGGTCCTAGTAATAAACTAAGTGACTTCCAAAAACTGAATGGTGTTTGCGAACTTCGTATTAGTTATAAACCGACGTTAGCTTCACGTTTATGTCACACCATGGAAACAGCCAAAAACATGGTGCTTGTTTTTGAGCGGAGCGGATCGCCTACCGGCTTGTCTACATATTAAGTGTTTCATTGTGTGCTTATCCAAATAGCATGTGTTACATTACATGCTTATCTACATATTAAGTGTTTTATTGTGTGTTCATCTAAATAGCATGTGTTACATTACACACTTATCTACATATTAAGTGTTTCATTATGTGTTCATGTAAATAGCATGTGTTACATTACATGCTTATCTACATATTAGGGGTTTCACTGTGTTCATCTAAAGAGCATGTGTTACATTACATGCTTATCTACACATCAAGTGTTTCATTGTGTATTCATCTAAATAGCATGTGTTACATTACATGCTTATCCACATATTAAGTGTTTCATTGTGTATTCAGCTAAATAGCATGTGTTACATTACATGCTTATCTATACATCAAGTGTTTCATTGTGTTCATCGAAATAGCATGTTACATTACATGTTTATCTACATATTAAGTGTTTCATTGTGTTCATCGAAATAGCATGTTACATTACATGCTTATCTACATATTAAGTGTTTTATTGTGTGTTTATCTAAATGGCATGTGTTACATTACATGCTTATCTACATATTAGGGATTTCATTGTGTGTTTATCTAAATAACACATGTTACATTACATGCTTGTCAAAATTTTAAGTGTTTCATTGTGTTCATCTAAATAGCATGTGCTACATTACATGCTTATCTACATATTAAGTGTTTCATTGTGTGCTTATCCAAATAGCATGTGTTACATTACATGCTTATCTACATATTAAGTGTTTTATTGTGTGTTCATCTAAATAGCATGTGTTACATTACATACTTATCTACATATTAAGTGTTTCATTATGTGTTCATGTAAATAGCATGTGTTACATAACATGTTTATCTACATTTCATGAAATGCATGTGATACACCACTATATCAATGTCATGTATCTATTTCACAGTTCATTTCTTGATAAGGTTCAATAATGCATCTAGTACAATTCACACACGTTATTTAATCTGAACTTACCCAGTAAGAACAGCACCACTCTGACTGTAGTATTTATTAAAATCAATTCTTAACATAAGTTGTGCAAGATAAGGGCTAGACTCATGACTGCGTACACTTGACAGCAAGGTAAAAAGGAGAGATGACTGTCTTTTGAAGCCCTGTAGTTATCAAATGAGATGAATAAATAAGCATAAATATTAACATATGGACTGATAACACTTTGCTTGGGTGGCTGTCAATTGCAGAAGTGTGCGCACAGGATTGCTTAGTTTCCAAGTAATCGTAAAACGAACAAATGTAATTTTGATCATTTTATATTTGCCTACTAAACTCTCAAATAAACACATGCAAAAATAGTACTCCCCCTAATGACCAAACTGCTAACATATAGAACAATTTTATCTGATCTGCATCCCAAAACAAGTCATGTGGCATTCAACAACTGATGTCTATCTATTTTACACAAGGTCATCAGATCAAGGCAGTTCTCTGACATTATAACTTCTTATTTGACCATTCATTGATCACATCTGAATATCCCATACAAAAGCAGATTCATCATCATTCCCCACTGGTATGTCATCACTCTACGGTTTATCCTTACTGGACTCATATTTCATAGGACATGATTGATTTGCAGATTACCTGAGCGAGTTTGTCAATCTGTCCAACTTCTCTATCCCGAAATTTAATGGTTTGTATCAGTAACATACAAAAACTGTGACATATATCTAATATCTCCTTCAAACAGTGTGCCACCTAGAAAGAAACATCAAATGTTACAACTTCAGCTTTTCTGAATACAAATTTGTTGTTCAGGTGCAAGCTATGAATATGTTCACAGTGGCTTATTGGAAATTTTGACACAAGCCATGTGTCAAATGGAACCAATGACAACAATTTGGTAACTGGTTTGGTGAAATGAACCTGTGTATAAAGGCTGAAATGATGGTAGATGTTTTTTGTTTTACACTATCCTTTATATTTGGTGGTGTTACAAAGTGATCATTTGTTGGTTTTTCAATGTGCTCATTCAATGATGTGTCAAAGTGTTCATTTGTTGGTGTTACAAAGTGTTCATTTGTTGGTTTCAATGTGCTCATTCAATGATGTGTCAAATTGTTTATTTGTTGGTTTTAAAGTGTTCATTTGGAGGTGTTACAAAGTGTTCATTTGTAGGTGTTTTAAAGTGATCATTTGTTGGTTTCAATGTGCTCATTCAATGATGTGTCAAATTGTTTATTTGTTGGTGTTACAAAGTGTTTATTTGTTGGTGTTTCAAAGTGTTCATTTGTTGGTGTTACAAAGTGTTCATTTGTTGGTGTTACAAAGTGTTCATTTGTTGGGTTCAAAGTGTTCATTTATTGATGTACTTACTGGCTTCATGTGGAGAAATGATTGTCCAAGAAGTGCAGTAAGGAAGCGATCATGGGAAAGACGAATAGTTTCAAAGTCTCTCGTTGATTTTATTTTCTCTCCTAGCTGAGAAAACTGAGTCTCCAGAACATCAACCTACACACACAAAAACAAACTATAAAGTGACTTCAATGACACAATCAATTTTTTATTCGGTATTTTCAATGACTGATGACAATAATTGATGACACAGTACTTAGATGACATGATTATCACCATATAAAACATTCTCAATGATTATTTGTTTGCTTTATCAAGTGTTTGCCTTATTATGTGTTTTCAATGACTAATTAATGAGACAATGACTTATAAGGTACTTTCAATGATGACTGGGACAAGGTATTTTTATCGACTAATAAAACAATGACTGTCTTATAAGGTGTTTTCAATGACTAATAATACAATGATTACCTTATAAGGTGTTTTCAATGACTAATAAGACAATGATTATCTTATAAGGTGTTTTCAATCACTAATAATACAATGATTACCTTATAAGGTGTTTTCAATCACTAATAAGACAATGATTATCTTATAAGGGGTTTTCAATGACTAATAAGACAATGATCGCCTTATAAGGTGTTTTCAATGACTAATAAGACAATGATCGCCTTATAAGGTGTTTTCAATGACTAATAAAACAATGATTACCTTATAAGGTGTTTTCAATCACTAATAATACAATGATTACCTTATAAGGTGTTTTCAATCACTAATAAGACAATGATTGCTTTATAAGGTGTTTTCAATGACTAATAAGACAATGATAACCTTATAAGGTGTTTTCAATGACTAATAAGACAATGATAACCTTATAAGGGGTTTTCAATGACTAATAAGACAATAATTGCCTTATAAGGTGTTTTCAATGACTAATAAGACAATGATAACCTTATAAGGTGTTTTCAATGACTAATAAGACAATGATAACCTTATAAGGGGTTTTAAATGAACTAATAATACAATGATTACCTTATAAGGTATTTTCAATGACTAATAAAACAATGATTGTCTTATAAGGGGTTTTCAATCACTAATAAGACAATGATTGCTTTATAAGATGTTTTCAATGACTAATAAGACAATGATAACCTTATAAGGTGTTTTCAATCACTAATAAGACAATGATTGCCTTATAAGGTGTTTTCAATGACTACTAAGACAATGATTGCCTTATAAGGTGTTTTCAATGACTAATAAGACAATGACAGCCTTATAAGGTGTTTTCAATGACTACTAAGACAATGATTGCCTTATAAGGTGTTTTCAATCACTAATAAGACAATGATTGCCTTATAAGGTATTTTCAATGACTAATAAGACAATGACAGCCTTATAAGGTGTTTTCAATGACTAATAAGACAATGATAACCTTATGAGGTGTTTTCAATGACTAATAAAACAATGATTGCCTTATAAGATGTTTTCAATGACTAATAAGACAATGATTGCCTTATAAGGTGTTTTCAATGACTAATAAGACAATGATAACCTTATAAGGTGTTTTCAATGACTAGTAAGACAATGATTGCCATATAAGGTGTTTTCAATGACTAATAAGACAATGATTATCTTATAAGGTGTTTTCAATGACTAATAAAACAATGATAACCTTATAAGGTGTTTTCAATCTCTAATAAGACAATGATTACCTTATAAGGTGTTTTCAATGACTAATAAGACAATGATTGCCTTATAAGATGTTTTCAATGACTAATAAGACAATGACAGCCTTATAAGGTATTTTCAATGACTAATAAGACAATGATTGCCTTATAAGGTGTTTTTTACAGATTGTATTATGTACCTGTAAGTAGTACTGCAGATTATCCACTAAGAAAGCCATATGTCTGCGTAGATGCCAAATATTACTATCCAACTGACTGGACGTGTGGTTCTTTCTTTCCATCTGAATTGCCCAGCAATGCTGTAATTCTAACTGCACTTTCTTTATATGTAACAGAAACTTAAACATTGTGTTGTACCTATTAACAATAAGAGGTTTAAAACAATACTGTAGATTATTCAGTTTGTATCATGATATATTAAGTACCCTTTGTGTTGTGTGCATACAATTTGAAATCACTTTTTTCTATAATTTCTGTGTTTATTTTGAATCAAATAGAAATAATTTCACGTCTGCTACAGAAATTGATAAATGTTTTTTTTTTGAAAAAGAATACAGTAAAACTTTTTAGCATTATTATGATTGTTAGCAGCAGTGCAACTCCAGGAAAAAAAGAATGAAATAAACAAGCGTTTTTGATTGCACAGTTCATGTTGTGTACTTAACTTTAAAGATCATTTATAGCGGCGAAGACACGTGAACCTCAGTAAATATAAACCTGGCAGTAGTGTACAGTTGTTCGTCACTATGATAAACAAACACATCAGAATAAATCTCTGATGTGATGGCATCATTTTCGTTATTCCCACGTTTTACAAACTCACCGGTAGATGTGAGACGTGGTGTCGGCGTCGGAACTATTTGTTCTGTTTTACTATAAATAAGCGAAATGTTTCTCAAAATTTGATTGTGAAATGGTGCTGTTACTAATTTATGTGAAAAACTACGTTCAGACTGGGCCTAACATCACTTTGAAAATAACAGGAAGTGTTTGTTATTACCGCTAAACATGCAGGCGGGTCTATCTTTACAATCAATGAAGTTATAGAAATAACAAGTGTGTGAGTTCAATACTTGATAAGACATGTCGCACATGGGCATGTATTTGTATGAAACTACTAGTAACAGCATTGTCCGTCTTTCTCTAACACCAGACAGGAAATTGTACCCGTGGTACACGTACAATGGGGGATAAATTGCCTCACCATAGATGCCTTTATGCAAACAATACAAGGTGTGAATATTACGGCGAGTCTCATACTTTCATTTCTTCATTTCAGTTTTTTAAGTGTTTCAGTCAACATGCATAAAATAACCATTAGCGTTACCGAAGCACAATAAGCTGCCATCCGCACCCCGTTTATCCATTCTGATTGGGAGTTGATTGTAGATGGGAATTAGTACGAATCACCACCTGACGAGTTCAACACGAATGCAAGGTTAGATGACAGCGGATTCGTTCCCGACTCTGGCCCTGACTTGGCAATAGAAAGGGACTTCCGAGAAAACAAATGTAATTTCTGTTTTTGCCAGCCTTGCGTTACCACTAATATTAAGCAAGATTGATCTCTATTACGATCCATTTACAGTCATAGGCTGCGTTATTTTCGGAACATGCTCTATCACCACGTACTAAATACTAAATTCATACTAAATTAATTTCATTAAAACAACTAGGGGTATTTCTGGCTCATACTCTCTGTGGCGACTTTTAAAAAATGTCATTGTCTTCGTTGAATCCGCTATGTGATAATGAGAAACACATTAGAAACTGTGTAAACGTTTGTGGAGATTAGATGACACATCCTGTTTCAGCGGTCCAATGTCACGTGACTTTGATTGACAGCAGTTAATTATTCAAGCTTAGTAGCACGTCCTTTTCCCCGGTTCGTGTTTTTGACTTTTATCCGCCAAAATCTCAACTCATACACTATTTATTGTCATAAATACTACACACAGTCACTGCTGTGATATTCGTAGTCACATGCATCCACTTTGGCACGACATAATCGACCTGTAAGTTCGAGAAAACGCGTTTTTTGCAGGAGCTTGGCTGGAGCTGTTTACTACAGCGTGACAAGCAAGGAAATAATCCCTATTGTTTAGAAGCGTATTTATAGTATACCTGGGCCTTTAAAATGGTGAGTTTTTAATATTTAAGCCTATTAAAAAACAAGCAGTCTCTTGGCTGAGATAGCTCCGCTGTTAGCAATGCACATTTCAATTAAAGAACAGAAGATATCATTAGAAAATGAACAATATGTATAGTATCAAAGCAATGGGACTTGCTGTTTTCAACAAGAATTCAAAAATATCATTTTTCACCATAAATGATTGTGGTTTTTAACAAGAAGAAAATATCACTTTTTACCAAAAATGATAAAAATATTCATCAAAATTAGAGAATTTAAAATATCATGAAATAAACAAATTTGAGAGTGGTCCATATGTAGTACCTATATATGTAATATCAAAGCAATTGGACTTGCGGTTTTTAACAAGAAGTTGAAAATATCACTTTTTACCAAAAATGACAAAAATATTCACCAAAATAAGAGAATTAAAGATATTACAAAATGAATAAATCTGAAAGAGATCCACATGTAGTACCTATATATGTAATATCAAAGCAATTGGACTTGCAGTTTTTAACAAGAAGTCGAAAATATCACTTTTTACCAAATATGACAAAAATATTCACCAAAATTGGAGAATTGAAGATATCATCATGAAATGAACAAATCTGAGAGAGGTCTACCCAAGGTACATATACACCAAGTATCAAAACATTCAGGCTTGTAGTTTTCAAGAAAAAGTCAAAAAAGTAAAACATTGACACGGACGACGACGGACAATCACTCATATGATAAGCTTCGCTTGACAGAGTCGACAGCCAAGCTAAAAAGGGCAACAAAACAATTATTGTTGTTGGTCTAATGGGTCATTGAAACTTTGGTCATATTGGTCATATCCACATCACTGTAGTTTAATGTAAGCACACACACTCCAAACAGAGCAAATACAGTATTGTATACTGGATCATTGAAATATAACTTATTTTCACCATAAACAAATCTCTGTCTGTCTGTCGGCACTCCTAACAGCAAATACAGTACAGTACTATTTTATTCATGACATGTAGACCTGAGTACAACATTATTATGATAACCTTAGAAAGCTGTGCTGCTAATATATATGGTGACATGTGTGTAGTAATATAATACGCTGATAAAAACATACTTTTCTAGCACAGTCTGAGTGAACAGAATGTGCAGTGGCCACTCAACAGTATACACCAAGTCTAAACAATTCCAACCGCTTTCAACACCAATTTCAGATTCTGAAATAAACGAAAGTAAACTCAATTGAAATCTCACACTCGTTTGGATTTTGTTTTCAGTAACAATATATTGGTATATATGAAACTGAAAATACCTATTAAATATTAATGTATCAAGTCGCTGCTGATGACATAATTTTATTGTCTGGCTTTTTTAAATCATATGAATCACTGAGATAAAGTCTAATGTGAAGGTTTTGCACACTAGCTTTGATCAAAATCATTACCAGACATTACACATGGCCTTGAATACAATGAATGAGTAAAAGCGGAAATGTTTTGAATAAAAAAACAAAAACAAAATGGTCAATGAATGGGGGTTATGAAAATAAATGACATGCACCTGAAACATATTAAAGGCCAAATATAAGATTCAGTGAAATAATTTTTAATAAATATTATAAAATTGAGCTCTTATTTTAATTTTTCCAGAAAATTGATTTTTTTTTTCAAAAGTTCTGACAAAACCTTTAACAAATAAAAAAATTCCTGTGTCATTAGAATCAATTTATAACAGCCAGCTGATATGTTGACAGTGAAAGCATAGCAAATACGCTATATACCAATGTTGTGCATTATAAAATCACTTGCAAGGAGGAAAAAGATGGCTATGGGGTTGAGTCTGGGACACCAGAGGGCGCCATCAATTGAAGCCCAAGCAAACCTCAGGGATTACGGTACAGGATGACAACTTACGGGGGGCCCTGGCCGAAATGTCAAATACATTGCCAGCTTTAGAGGTTAAGTCACTTTCTATTTGCTTCTCACTGGTGTCAATTCCCATAATAGTGTGTAATGAGTCATAATTTTCTTCTGTTCTCATCACATGACCTATCCTTAGTTTTCACATCACATTTAATGAGACATTAGTCTTGTGTAGGATGACTTTATTCATGAAATTGTTTCTAAAACAATATTTCGGTATGATTGGAACATCTTTATGTAATATACTTATATCACAGCGATTGCCACTTTAACGCAGGATGAACAGAAACAATTAGATTTTTTTGAGTCTTACATATGTTATGTTTTGTCTAGTACTAACTTTGAACAAAATCCGTCCAGGAACAGACAAATGTATTGACTGATGGACACAACCCTAAATATAACTTTAGATTTCACTTAATGGATTTAGTTGTAAAAGGATTAGTGTATATACAGGTAATAAAATAAAATATTTAAAACAAGTACAGTAGAAATGAAATTTAAGGAATTGATGCGTAAATATATTGAAAACAAGAAAAGGTGACTTACTTTTGAGCGCTTGTTTACTCGATACTGTTTTACTTTGCACTGTCATTTTGAATTTCGACAATATACTGTCATCATCCAATAATACCCTACGAGCAGCTTGACGAAATGCTGCGTTGACATCTGAGATCAAAAAATAAAAAACAGTAATTGTCAGTTGCATAGTAGGTGAGGATACAAAGAGAATTCTTAATGGGTTAGTATGAAAATTAAAATCTGAAGATTCAGATAGTAGAGTAATTTTGTTTTGTTTATTTTTCATTTTACATAAAAATGAACCTTGTCAAATAAAATTCTGGTTCCGCTTCTGCATAGCCATACTTTTTCTGCATTTATTGAAAGTATAATATTGAGTTAATTCAAGTCATGACCTGATGACAGATTCTTTCCTGAGTCAGCCATTTTGAATCAGTGTTAAGTGTGACATGATGTATAACGTAGTTGTAATTTTGATTGCAATCAAACATGGAGACATGGCTTATAACAATATTCATTAATAAAAAATTGTTGTCATTCATCCACTTTGAATTCTCCCATTATGTTCAATGTATGTACAAAGTTTTAATAATAGCATGACAAGAATCCAGGATTCCAGTACACGGTTTATTTTAAAGTATTTTTAACGTTGAATGTTAAGACAAGACTATGATCCCCATTAACACTCTGACATTGGGACTTAATTGTAGTTTCTAACCATCAAACTATGCTGTGGTAGGGGATTTTCCCCCCCGACTCAAAATATTTGTATGAATGTCTCATATGAAATGAAAGTGGTTGTATAGCATGCTATTGTTGACAGACACAACATCTGTGACATGCAATATGTCCCAGATGTCACCTGACAGTGAATTGATGTCACACATGTCACTTAACAGTGGTTGGATTGAGAGTCAGGTCATCTGTCAGAACCATTCAATTCAAATCATCAAAATTGAATGGGAATGCTCTTTGTTAAAGAGTAATATAAATAAAATTTCAGTATTTTTGAGTATGTTTTATAAATATTTTATTTATCATATCTTTGATATTTTTTTAATGTAAAATAAAAAGACAAACTTTTTCGGAAAATAGCAATCAACTACACGAGGACAACTTACCATGCTCTGTTGTAGCCGTTGGCAACATCTTTAGGAGACCTTGTGCATGGTCTATAAAAGCCAGAAATAACTCGCCCCGCCCTAAGAGATAGAAATCTTTCATCACATTCAAGTTTGCCAATAGATCTGACTCTTCCATGACTAAACTCCATAAATGCTGTGAATATAGAGAAATGAATCACATCAACCCTATCATACTGAAATGTAGAACAGTATTATAATATATATCACATGTACAGATGTAGATGCAAAGAGAGCCCAAATATTATAATATTTTGTTTACATTCAAATTACTTGCTACTGTATTTAATTACATCATCAAATGTGTTGTACTGTAAGGTTATTATTTTACTTGGAATTTATTTTGGAAATATTTTTGGAATGATTCAGTGAAAATAAAATCCAGTGAATGTACCTTATTCCTATATATTACATTTAACTCATCAAAAAAAGCTTTTTCAGTGAAAATTAATTGCAGCTAAAATATTCTACAGTATTTAACAAAAACATTGTCATTCGGATAACCAAAATATGAATGTCAAATTTATTTTATTTTATTATTAAATATGATATTATTAAATGGCTACAATTTGACTGTTTATAGCTACTATCACTTGAGTGATTGCGATTAACCCCATTTAAAGAGATATACAGAACTGAGACAAGGACTGTTTTCTGGGCCTACCTAATAATACACCTTGATAAAAATGTTATAGTTTCATAGAGCATAATTTGGTTTGAATAGCATTGCGTTGTTCATCTCTACTGCAAAATAGATTGGTCCGCAATGGGTGTGGTAACTTGTCAGCACCAGTTAAAAGCAATGTTGCTTCTTTGTCACAGAGAAAATTGAAAATTAATGCGGTGATTTTGTTCTAGTTTTTTTTTGTATTAAGATTATTCAATGCCATAACAAGAGAGTATAGATTCAACATTCATTGTACAATAGTTTTGAATACATGTATTAAAGATTCATTTGGATCAACAAAACATACTGTAGAATACTTTATTCTCGCTATTTTCGCTGAAGGGATGATTTCGTGAAAATAAAATCCACCGAATATACTTTTTTTCCCATATTTCACATTAAACTCATCAAAAATCAGTGAAAATAAATTCCATACAAAACGCCCAAAAAGTCTTTTCAGCAAAAATTAATTCTAGCGCAAATAAAGTTATTCCACAGTACATTTAAACAGATAAACATTTCCCTATTCTACCATATGTGGCGCACTTCACTGAAAAATTGCAAAGGAAACAAAGTAGTCAAATTTACCAACCCCAGATATACTAGTAAATATTGCCCATTCGGTATGCAACACAGAGTATGTAAAAGGGTCTGCACTCAATTTGGTTTTTTGAATACAAATGAAATAAATATTTATAACAAAATTTAATCTATATTGCTTGCTAAACAAGGCACTGTGTCACAGAAAGACAACATGTGTGATGCTCAACCCAAGTTTGATTGAAATTGTCCTGTACACTTACCCACCCAATTCACCCACCTAGGAACACTGCCGTGGAGGGGTCGTCACCTGCGCAAACACTAGAATTGAGTCCCATTGCACACTAAAAACGCAGAGGCTCATAGGTAGACGCTTGTTTGTAAAAAATAACATGCTATGGCCGTTTGGCGCATGCCCAGGTGACGACTCCCCTGCTTTAATCTTCTCGCTACTTTTTTGGCTATGCCCGATAGGACGCAAAAACAGTAAGGCAAACTAGTATGTGCGACGACTATAAGCAAAACCAGTAAATGTAAAGACATCACGACATTTTATTATTCCTGACTTTAATAACCCTTCACGAAGGCATCAAAGGTCATTTGCCCTTTCATATTTTCTACGTTATTCTTATATGCTAAAGCCATTTCCTGAATTTGGACTTTAAAAATGTGAGCCCTCTCAACTATGAAGTGCCCTCAATGGAGACTCATTTAGCTTCTAGCTAGTGTAATTGTTAATTAGTCACAGCCAATTAATACTACCCATTTGCCTCGACAGATACCACACACATCGTATTAATGTCTCTATCTGTAATAGTGTTCCTGATATGATTCCATGCGTATGTACAGACAGATTGACATACGAACAGACACGGGTAACCACTATATCACTCATAGGCAATGTACCAGGGAATAAAAAGTCTGGGTATAGACTGCTTTTGATGGAATAATTCACTGCTTGTCTCATTTAGATCGATATCTAACTGTATACAATAGTGATGTAATTGGCTAGTGACAACATAAACTATATCACTAGCCAAATATGTTCATTTATGAAGAGGATAATTTAAGTGCCCCACGTAGACAGTGAGAAATATAATATGAGGTTATCACGAGGATACCTCAAAGTATGCACGAAGACAGTACTGCGGGAGTATCGATCGACGTGCAGCAAAGGTTGATGTTGTGTCTGAGTGCATACTTTGAGGTAACCTTGTAATAACTTTATTATTATACATCTTTTCCTTCCAAGGATACATCATGGAAATGCCAAAATCCAAAAAGTTTAGAACAGAATCAGCGAACTTCTTTGTGTGGAGTCCGTCAAACCCTGGTGGCAGCCATGTTTGTTTTTATTATTAGAGGACACTTACGCACATAATCATTCCATATTTGGAATTTGCATTTCTTAATATGGTATGATGAAAATACCCTGTAAAATACTGCAAAATTGCGGCACGCTGTAAATTATTGCGTTATTGACAGATACATAATAATAAATGACGTATAATAATAATAAATACCTCGGCTACACATACTCTTATCTTGTCAATAATGGCTTCAAATGACATCAAACAGAAGACGGGTTGTTGTTGTAATTTACTCAAATCCATGGCAAACTCTTCTTCTCGTTCTTTTAAAACTGATCCTGCAAAAGAATGAACAAGGATCAAAACTTACTGCATTTAATGAGTGAATTGTCAAATATGCTGACATCCAGAGGTTCTAAGCTTCTCTCTCTGACGGCCTGTCACTCGTGATTTTATGTGTCATTTCCTATAACAGTGTGGATCGTGAATAAATTACGGAGATGTTTGTATGGTCAAAATTAGTACCGGTAATATGTTTAATGATTCACTATACAATAAGTATACAACAAATGCAATTTTGAGTTTATATGTGCGAATAGAGCAAATACGATAATTAACTTGATGAGAAGATTATTTTGGCACAATGTGACAATCAATGATACCTGTATGTCTGAGCACATCTCGCTGTTGCTGGTTTTCAAAAACTTGAACGGATTCACCAATGAACAGAATCTTTTCAGCAAGTCTGCTTGGTATATAACTCGGTAACATCTGAGGTCGCAGAGCAAATAATACATACTCTGGTTTGTGAGATAGTGTGCTTTCTTCACTAAGTTTCTATCAAGAGCAAAATAGAAATAAATAATTATCATTGAATGAAAATGTTAGATTTAAATTGGCCATGGAATGATATATGCAATTCTTTGAACTTAAGTAACTTTTTCACAGTTATTTTTGCTTTAAATTTTTCAATTAAAAAAAACATGACTAAGATCTGTAACAAACAGGAAATTAAGTTTATTTGGTAAAATTACCAAGTCATGATACAGTCCCTGCTTGTTTTCAGTTTATATCGCAAGTACATGTGTACACATGCTCCATGACAAACAAGCCATAATAGAGATACAGCATTTAAAAAAAAAAAAATGGTCACCAGTCGGTCATTACGAATCTGATCTGCAAAATAAACTAATGTGAATGAAAGTCCTGCAATGTTCAATGAATGTACCAAGTTTTGGAATGGCAGAAATAAATTGTTGGCACTAAAATGGCTACCATTTGTCATTATGAAACAAACACAAGTGCATATGTATCTCAAGTATGACATATGTGTAAAGTTTGAACGTGATTGGTCGAGGCATGTTCAAGATGCAGACAGACGCATGGATGCATGCACAGAGATAAATGTCCCTATTATGGACTTCGTTCAAATCTGGACTAGCATAGAAATTATAGAATAATACAAACAAATGTGAAAATGATGCATTCATATTTGAAAGAGAAAAATAATGGCGTTCAAAAAGGTGCGTATCATAGACTTGTTGCAAATCTACATCAAAACAGACACAAAATTGTAAAAACAACAATTGATGTAGAATAAAAAAGAAAACAATTCCATGCATATTCATTGCCCTGATGTCAATTTTAAATTAATCAGCCCTTGCTATGTCTGAATGATGACTAGACGACACAAGCAATCCAATATTGCCCCCCTCCCAAATAATAAATAAGATCTAAGAAAGGCTGGAACATGTATACCAACAAAATGAACCCAGTCAAGATGAGAAATATGGTTGACAAAATTAGATGTGAATTGCAGCAAGGAAGACATTTATGATGGTAAACAATCCACAATATTAACAACCCATGGAATACCAAGTCAACTTTCGTAAACATTCACAAAGTAAAATGTTATAATTTTTACCATTTTCCCCCGTAAATTTTGATCTAAGACTGTAGCTAATAGAAAATTAGGTCTATTTAGTCCAAAAATGATAAAAAATATTATGGGAAAATACCTGAAAATAAAAAAATATTGCACCAAATAAAAATTTCGGTTGGAAAATTTATAGCGGTCAAACGATCAAACACCAACATAATGTGGTACTCAAGAGAGAAAAACATCCCATGTTAGTCCTACTATATCTTACCATAGCTTCCCTAAGTTGTTTACCAGTAACTCCTCCAATACCCAAATCATAGTCGTCTTCATCTTCCTTTGGAACAGTCTGTGTGTGCTCTGAACTCTGCTGAATGAAAAACTCTGCATAATGGTCCAATAACAAACCATGTAATGTCCATGCTGTTAACTGCTTATACATCACACCATGGCAGGTGTACAGAATCCTAGACATAAAGACGAGTAAAGATAAAAAGGGCATATAACTTAGATATGCATATATGGCGATATATGATATATCAAGAGTTTACAAGATAAAGGTATATAATTTAGATATCCATGTATGGTGATCTGTGATATACCGACGGTTTACAAGATAAAGGTATATAATTTAGATATCCATATATGGCGATATGTGATGAAGATACCATTCTAAGTGAGTTCCATGTGCATGTCAATCAAATTTATTTCTGACCAATAACATGACAGAAAGCAATGGCTTGTGGAAACAGAAATGAGAAGGTTTGTCGCCTTATTTAAAAACATACAAAACCAACAATGCCTCTGTGAATATACAAGAGCACTAGAAAAACCAGCCTGAGACAAACATGAAATCTCACCTTTCTAGGGCATGCTTAAGAGATGGAAGACCACATGCAGCATTTCTATGTAGTATTTCTAGTATATGGCAGCCATGTATTTTATGATATAAGATCTGATCCACCACTGCAGACAGGGCAGGAAATAGTAACTGGTATTCTTCTAAACTGTGCTGTATATACCCCAATGATAGATATGCATCCTTAAGAATCTAAGAAAACAACAACACAGTAGTGTGTAAGTTGGAAAAAAAGTTTTGGTCATACATGGTACATGCAGAATATCAAAATGATCAGTTGAAGCACTCATGATAAGAGACATTTTTTTTTTGGCCAAACCATGTGTCTGATCAAAATTATTTTATTTTAATTTTTAAAAACTGTGGCCACATGCTACATGCAAAATGATCACATTAATCAGTTAAAGCACTGAATGAGAAACAAATGACCCAAATTTTGACCATTTTTGAAGGAAACCCTGTAAAAAGGCTTAACAGTACATGCAACAGGCGATATATCTGTGTAATCAGTTGAAGCAGTCATGAAAAACAAATGTCCAAGGTTTTGTCCATGTAGTGGCTGCATGTACACATATTAATTAAATGTTGTAAACTACAGTAATAACTTACACAGGCCTAAATTTCTGACCGGTGCATTCAACAATGGTGGGTCGCGAAGCATGTGTATCAGTTCAGTACAATAGTTTAACACCTACCTCTTGTTCAATGGACAGTAGACTTTGCCTGTAATTTTCTAAGACTTTGTCTAAACCACTGCAGAATGCTCTCAGGTATAAACCATCTTGTAATCTTCGACTACTATCCTCTAAATATTGCAAAAAAAATTTTAAGCCTTTGAGCACCAAAATCATCATAACTGATTTAATATTTGTTCTACTTGCCTCTGTATGGACATACAAAACTCAATATATAAGTTATCTGTTTTGTAGTGGGGGCTAACAAAAATAGCTGTCTATAGAACTTATCTTAGGCTTTCAAATAAATAAGTGGATACAAACCTTGAGTTTTGCCATTTGCAAATAATATGGGAGTGCCTCTATATTCTGTGATGAATTCTTGGAACTTTTTGTTGTACGTTCCTAAACGACATAGACGATTCAAAACGGACACTTCATTGGCGTGAATAAAAGGCAAATCAGTAACAACCTGAAGGTGAGAATATATAAGAATGATAACAACTGTGCTTGTTTAAATTGATTATTCAACTGGAGAATACAGGGACATACAACTGTCAGTCCATGGATTATACATAGACTAGTATGAAAGGAGAGGGAAAAACATTTTGCCAAATATGCATCACATATGTTCTATTTTGTCAGTAATTGATATTATGCAGCAAGTCCATAAACATCCATATCAATTTTTTCCAGTAGTTTAGGTAGGTATTTGAAAATACGCTAGTTTGTGTACTGTACACTAATGACAATAAAAAAAACTATAGTGAAACTAAGAGCTGCAGAACTGTAGCTATCGACAGTGCAGCAATCTGTCAGTGAGACAATTTTACCAAAATGTATCTCGAATTTGGGAGACATTCTTCAGATTAGCATTAATTACGGTGGACAGTCGATTTGTCTCAAATAACATTCGTCCCACTGGTTGATTTGTCAGATTTATTACGTTACCTCGATACTAACTCATCCAATACGCACAAAAAA